TATGTTGCGCAATGGGTCCTATCGATTTTCTTCAGTTTTTGCTCCGATTGGCTAATAAACAGAAAAATCTGTTCTGTTGGGATGACGAGAAAGTTTATGAGTATGATCGGTAAGCTGACATAAACGATAAGTATTTCAATATTATTTAATGTGATATAACAACACAACACAATATAATATAGTATAATACGAAGGTAGTCCCAGAAATACCTGGCCCAACAAAAAAAAACACAAAAATTTTGGACAAAAATTTATTTATTATTTTACACGCTTTATATTAGCTTCACTTGTATGTATATATGTATATGTATATACAGTATGACCCATTTTTAATGGAAACATGAAATTTTTTATTGAAAAAATCACTACGCCACTGAATTCAGAGTGCCTCTAAACAGGTGTGACCAAAATTTCATGAAAAAATATTCATTATTAACAAAGTTATGAAAACTCAAAAATTCGAAAACTCACAGAGCTAACAGTCACAAAAAACACCCTATATCAACAGATATAGCCATGAGAATTTTTTTTTATGATTTCAACAAAAAGTGCCGCCAGATGATAAAAAAACACATAGCGTAAATATTTTTGATGAAAATAACGGAATTACATTCAAGTTTTCACGCAAATTAACTAAAACTAAGACCTTTTATTTCAATTTAAATCTTAGTTGCCATGGAACTGATATAACAGTTTGACACTTATGAAAGATTCAAGTGTACTATTGTCAACAATATTCACCTTACAGTTCTTCGAATTATTTTGTGTCATGGCTGCAAGATTGAGCGTGTCATGGCTGCAAGAGGGAAAATTGAAATTGTACGCCTTTCGGGAGATGACGTTAGAAGTGCTAGAGAGGTTTGTAAAGTATTTAATGAGAGACATCCAGATCGTCCTCGTATTAGCTGCGGTACGGTAAATAAAATAAATAAAATATTCAATGAAACTGGTGCAGTATCAAAAATGATGTTAAAAAGTAATCCTGTACAAAGACGAAACAGGAATGACAGGAATGATCAAATCATTTTAGATTATTTCGGAAATAATCCTAATGCCAGTATAAGGAATGCCACTTTAGATTTGAATATTCCACGAGAAACTATTCGGAGATGTCTCAAGGCGAAGAATATTAAACCTTTCAAGCCAAAATTTCTCACACACTTCAAGAAGGCGACGAAGCAATACGCCTGGAATATTGTTTATGGGCCCAAGGGGAATATTTAAACAGTAGAAATTTCCTAAAAAATATTTTATATACTGACGAAGCCACTTCCACTACAAATGGAGTAGTGTCATCACAGAATTGTCGCTATTGGGCAGCGGATAATCCTAACTGGGTAATAAACTGTACGAAATTAGGAAGGGAAAAAGCTATAAAAAGTTCAGAAATCTTGTTAAAGATGCCCTTGCAACTAAAGCGTACGACAATCTTGATGAATATTACAATGGAACTTTGCTGTGATTCAATATAGGTGTTTTTGTTGTTGTTTATATTGACATCTATTCTTCAAATTATATTTTATACTGGGATATATATTATTTTATTGCCATGGTACGTGAACTTAGGTTCAAATTGTATATATTTGTTATTTACATCTTTTAAAAGGGACTATACAAACTATTTTGTCTACAATTTGTTACATTTTAACTTCTATTGATATATTTTATCTATTAGATATGTGAATTTAAATTGAAGGGGTTATATTTTTAGGAGTGATTAATTTTTGGGAAAGAAAGTTTTTGGCTTTCTACTTTTTTTGTATCAAGATGGAGTAGTAAAATGTGAATTCAGTTTTGCTCAAATTGTGTGTCTGTGTATTTGTGTCTTTGAATTGTTTCTTTTCTCTCATTCTTTAAAGTGCTATATATACCAGATTTTTTAACAAGCTTTGTCAATAATATTGTATTTTCTTGGACAATAAAGTATATGTCTATTCTATTCTATATGTATGTATGTTGGTTTGTTTGTTTGTAAGTCTCAAGCTCAGGATCTGTATTTGACAGAATCATCGACATTATTGCTTGATTATATTCAAATTCTGGTGGTGATGGTCATCAATGGGCGAAGGAGGACAATTGAGAAAGCAGTCACATCATGTGTCACACCAAGTACTCTTCATATTCAAATTCTGGTGGTGATGGTACAAAGATGTCTCCCTGGAATTAAAAATCAACCTCTTTTTGCATTGTTTTGTTTTTGCATCTGTTTCATATTTTTCAGGTTCGGGTGTCCCGGCATTAGCATTGATTTTCCTCGCTCAGTGTGATGAAAAAGATTCTACAATAGCCATTATATCTCTGGTCCTAGCAGGAGGTGCTGCCAGCGCGAGTTTCAGTGGATTTTTAGTCAACCATTTGGACCTCTCACCCAACCATTCCGGTATTCTTATGGGTCTTACCAACCATGCTGGGATAATCTGTTCAGCACAAGCACCAGCGTTGATGCATTATTTAGTAACAGATGAAGTAAGTAGCCCTTTCCTACTCAGCGAACGAGATTTGTACTTTGCCTTCCAGTGCAAAGATAGTGCTAGGATTGGCACGGTGAAAGGCAAGACCTCGTTAATCCTTAGCTCGCACGAGTTTCGAATTTTGAGTTCCAGAGAATCCAGTTCAACTTTTATATTCGTTGGGCGAAACGTTAACGTTTTGGTTAAACTGTTTATTGAAAATCTCATAATGTAGTGTTTTCTCGAACTATTCACTTTCGTTATGCTCTTCAATAATTTGAAAGTTATCATTGAAGTGAAACACATAATCATGATGGCTGTTGAAATTTTAGGAGGATCCTGAACAATGGAAAATCATTTTTTACTTAGCTTCTGCTGTGTACATTACGACAACAATTATTTTCATAGTATTTGGATCAGGGGAAGTACAGCCGTGGAACGAAAAAGAAAAAGGTGTATCCTTGAAGACTGATGATAATTAGTGAAATTCCAAATACAATTTTCATAACTATTAATGAATTTCTCTTAACCTACATCTATACTGAGTTAACAAACCCTCAATAGTCCAGTCAAATATTAATATATTTCTTATCAAAGCTGAGTTTTTTCTCTTATTTTTTGGGGTGCAGAATCCAAATTTCAAGTTTCCTCTGCTTCGTAAAAGATCGGTTTCNCAGTTGACAGCACGATGTCACATGATACCTATGAAAATGGACGAGGAAAAATTGAGTTGCTTGTTTACGCAGGCTCTAGCCCAGAATATCCAGAAGTTTTCAAAATTTGCCTGGAGTCATACAGAAAAATGTCTCCTAGTCTTCTTTCAGATCGTTCAAAAGATGATGAAACTCTCCCAGATCTGCCCTCTTTTGATTAATGGGATGGACCCATAACATTTTTTTTGTCACCAGGCGACGGACCGGCAGAATTATTCTGCTAAGCAATAATGAGATCAAACCAGTTTTCCTTCCTCTGGATGATGATAATTTGGTGATTGAAACATGTGTTGAAGTGTTGAAATAACAGTTTGGTGTTGAAAATATTAATTTTTACACCAAAGGTTCCAAACAGTGCATCAAAAGTACATGAAAGCTTCATTTTTGGGCTCTGGTGTCAACCATTTAAATGTATGAAAGAATTTGACTCTGTTGAAAAATAAGATATTTGGTATTTAATTTATTTTGGGAGTGGAATAACTTTTTCTCATTGGGGGCTTATGTTATTCAAAAAACTCTTCAAAATCTATGCTTACAAATGCGAAAGTATCTTCCTTTACACATATTAAACTCTGTTTCTGCGTATTGGTAGGTGAAATTTGGTATGTAGGTGCTTCTTAGGTCTTAGATGCTCCCTTAGAAAGGATTTTTAAATAACCCCACTGAGGGTCCCCAATGAGGGTAAAGAGGCGCGTTTACATATGGAAATTACCTTCTCATCATTGTTTCTCCGTACTGCTACATTTTAGGTAGCTGAAATTTGGTATGTAGGTTTGTTTTATGTTGTAGATGTACAATAAGAAATGATTTTTCAATTTTTTAACTGAGCCGCGTTTCATTACTGTTTGGAGGCTGAAATTTTTAATGTAGGTTCGTTTGATGTTGTAAGAACCAACTGAAAGCTTCTGCAGAAAAATATTTCATTGAGAGAGATCCAAACGTTGGGATCAATCAGCCGTATATTGTTTAGAAAAATGGCCATTAATATTTTCGTACAGCGCCATCTGCCCGCGAATAGATCAAGCAATAATGTCGGTAATTCTGTCAAGTACAGATCCCGAGCTTGAGAGTTACAAACATACATACATACAGGTGAAGCTAATATAAAGCGTGTAAAAAATGAAATTTGATTTGTGTTTCAGAAAAATGGCACAGGCCTCTGAATACAAGGCAGTTCCTACCAATGCAAATGGAGATGAATCTTTTGTTAATGATGGAAACCGTGCAAAAGCTTCAGAGCTGAGTCATGGTATGTTATAGTTTAGTTTTGATCCATGAATAGAAACCAAATAAGGAGTGGTACAATGTCAAATTGAGCTGGTAAAAACTCAGAAAAATAATCCCGCCCATTTTACTGTTGTCACCGTGAAGGTAGCTGTATTTCTATTTGTGATATCCAAGTCCACGATAAAATACGAATATAGGTCGTATGTAGCATCTTCAAACTTGATTTGAACCAGTGTACCCCCTGTAGATGACTCGTTCCTTCAACCACTTGATGTTATGTTGAAGGGTTTAAAATGCTTCGTTATTACCCATTCCTATCTTGGATTCCTATCTTTTTTTTGTTGCATGGCAATACTCACTGTGAACGACCTCTCGGTTTCAACTTTCATTCATATGGTATCTAACAAACGTAATTCTTTGAGTTTTTGTTCATGTTTGTTGGCTTGGTTTTGAAACGTCGTCTATTGAAAAATTAGCTAACGAGGAAGCCCCAAAAAAGAACAGACATATTCCAGAATATTGCAGTAGTTCTGTAAGCAGAGGGAAGCAGGTACAATCAGTGCTCTGTTGGCTATCATCCCCAAAATTGTTTGAAAAGATATGGCTGGATATAATATCAGAAATTGTCTCAGATCCCTTCACACTATCTATAGCAGCTTCACAAAAACCAAGCCATAGCAAAAACTGGCTCTAAAAATTGCGTATATAGGATTAAATTTAAAGAAGCTGTAGTTGAGTTGACTAAATAATACACATACGTCTTATTAAAGAGAAAATAATTTTTTATAGTGTGCGATCTCTGCTGCAGGCATCCAGTGATGCAACTGAACCCAGGTTTGTGTTTAATAAACCCTGCAAAATACAAATAGAACAGAACACAGAGTCTGATGCTACAAATGCAATACGCATATATACAGACGGCTCAAAAACCAAAGAAGGCTCCCGATGTGGAGTTTACTCCAGATCACTAAGCCTAAGGATTGAGTGGGGAATGGGAAAAAACAAGAACTGGTTGGTATCTCAATCGCTACAAAAGAAATAACCAGGAAAGGAATTTCTGGCAAAAAATTAGATTAGATTAGATTAATATGGGGCCTCTGTGCTGAACAACCACTACACTGCAACCTTTGCAGATCTATTGTGTATGCCCTCATGTATGCTAGAGTTCCTAGTCTAGGCCCGTCCTTGTAACTAGACTCCATAGGCCAGACCTCAAGTTCCCCATATATTGAGAGGGTTGTGGTTTTTCCTCCCCTAATGTTGCAAACCTTATCCTTGACAGACCTTCGCAATAGCATAGTATGTGTACGGAGGTTTCCTCCTCCTCTTGGCAACTCCTGCCTAGGGCTGTGTCTGCCAGTCCGATGTTGTTCATGTGTTTGTTGAGTCTACAGTGTCTCGTCAATAGCCCGACCAGAACTCTAGTTGATCGCCTATTCAGACTTAGTAGGTACTCCATGAATTTTGGCGATGGCTCTTTAATGAACTCTTTTGCCTTTCTAACACGCGGCGCCTTATTCCACCATTTTTGAGATTGTTTTTCCTTCCAGTTGCTGTTACAAATTTTTCGCAGCGCTTTTGCTATACCACAAAAGGGTTCTGGGCCAATGGGGGAGCGTCGACCTCCTTCTCGTGCTAATAAATCAGCTTCTTCGTTGCCCTTATATCCTAACCAGGCTAATGACAGTCTGTTGTCATGTTGTAGTTCTTGTAGCTTTTGTAGCAGCAGTTTATGAAATTGATTATGATTTTTAACTGTGGCGCCCCCTGGGAATGAAAGGGGTGCGTTCACATATGAAAATTACCTTTACATCACTGTTTCTCCGTATCGCTACATTTTCAAAGGCTGAAATTTTGTATGTATGTTTGTTTCATGTTGTAGAAGTGCAATTAAAGGTAAATTTTTGAATATTTCAACTGGGGATCCCCCTGGTAATAAAAGGGGCGCGTTCACATATGAAAATTACCTTTACATCGCTGTTTCTCTGTATCGCTACATTTTCGAAGGCTGAAATTTTGTATGTATGTTTGTTTCATGTTATAGAAGTGCAATAAAAGAGAAATTTTTGAATATTCCAACTGGGGCTCCCCCTGAGAATAAAAGGGGCGCGTTCACATTATGAAACATCATTGTTTCTCCATACCGCTATATTTTCAGAGGCTGAAATTTTGTATGTAGGTTATTTTTATGTTGTAGATGTACATGAAATGAAGTCAACTTTTCTCTGTGCCCTTAAATTTTCGGAGGGTGAATTTATATTCAGTATCGGCATTGCACCCGTGCGGAGCCGGCGCGGGTCGCTAGTCAATGTTTGAAATACGAAATTCTCAAACGATCAGTATACACACACGACATATTTATTGAGCTTTATAGAGCTTCAAAAACAGATGACATTTAAACGGACAAACCTTTTAGAACAATCTAACAAATGAATAACAATTATTATCAGTATACAATATAACGATGAAACCGCTCATTAGTCTCAATTAAAGCAGAATACTATATTTTTCCCAGACCTACAAGTGGACAAACCAGAATATGATTATTTCGATGTACATATGGGGATACACATTACCCCAAATAGCGGCTGGGTGGATCGTTACAACTTATGGACCCAAATGGTTCATGGTTGGGGCAATGACGATGTCTTCACTATTGGGTTTGATGATTCCCACCACTGCATCTCTGACTGGCGACGTAGGTGTCATAGTTTGTAGATTTCTCCAAGGATGTTTTCATGCAGTGATGCCAACTGCAACATACACTCTGTTAGGTAAATGGTTACCTGTCAGTGAAAGAAGTAGAATGAGTTCACATGTGTTCACAGGTAATGTGTAAATAATTTTAGTCAATGAAGGTATATGTTTATCAAAACAAAAGTTTTCAATTTACCACAAACTTTTCCATACGGATATCACTCTCCATTACAATTCTACCCTTCATAGCAACACAAAATGGCATCTTATAATAGCATGATTTATAGATTTGTTAGTGTTCCTCTTTCAATAGATACTTTTGTTGAAGAAGTCAATATCGTTGAGCAAATTGTAGTAAACAACAGATTCAAAGGTGAATCAATGGACTTATTACTTTCCAAACGTCTACGCAAAAGCGTATTCTTGACAAACAATAGAAAAAGTGGTCTCATTTTGGGATAAACAAGATATTAAAATTGCATATAGAACTGGTTATACGTTGGGAAAGTTAGTTGAAAATAATAAAGACAAAACACCCAAATTTGAGAAATCAGAAGTATATAAATTAAATTGTGGAACTGGTTCTAAAAGGTATATTGGTCAAACCGGCAGAACATTCAGAAATCGCATGTGGGAACATCGTATGAGCCATGCAAATTATCAACAAATATCAAATTTCCACTGCTATGGTCAACAATCAGATCATTGTATGAATGAAACAATAGAGGGCCTAGGTTGGAACCGTGAATTACCCCCGAATATTCCGAATGTGTGACTGATCAAAAATTTTGTTTCATCAGGTTCGTCAATCGGAGCTGTGATTTCCATGTTGTTGAGTGGTTATATCGCGGGAAGTTGGTATGGTTGGCCCATGGTATTCTACGTGTATAATGGTTCAGGATTAGTATGGGCCTTCATTTTCTGCTTCATCGGCAGTAATTGTCCCGGCGACCATCCAACAATCAGTATACAGGAAAAAACATTCATTGAAACATATTCGTTTTCTACCGATAAGAAGGTAAGTGAGTATTTAGTATGATAGAACCAATACAATTGATAACGTGTCTGAGAATATATTTTTTATTTATTCTCGTGTAATGTGAAGATCTGTACGATTTGAAAAAATACTGGGCAATAAAACGATACGATAATATAACATATATATGTATAAGTTTCGGAGAAAACCGATGCCTGGGTTTTTGTGGCATGGAATTGAACCTGATTAGTTCAAACTCAATACCTTGCAAGAAATGTAGTGAGGTATATATTGGTCAGACTTCCAAACTTTTGAAAGGCAGACTCACATCGCATAAAAATGACCGGCGATCGAAATGATTTATCTTGCGCTGTGTCATAATTTGTCAATACATTAGATCATATGGATTATGTGGAACGCAAATTCTATGAAGTTGTGGAATGAAGCATTTATAAGATATAGCCCAAAAATGATCGAAGTTCTGTGGTATTGCAAAGTGAAGGTGAATCATGAAGTCCTTTTTTATGAATCTTGTGTCCAGAAAGAGCCAAGGGTGTTTGCAATACTGAGTATTTGGTTTGTAGTGGTCACATTCTAACTGATCGTAAACGTTTCATAATTTGTAGATGTACTCTGTTCTCAGTTGCAGTTATTATGATGTCATGTGAGTAACATAGTGTTTTATAATGTTATTTTTCATCATTTTACAGAATTTATCAACCCCTTGGATTAAAATTCTGACCTCATCATGTTTTTGGGCACTCGTATTAGCAGATTTATCATTTATCTGGGGTTATTATACACTACTTTCACAAACTCCAGCTTACTTCAATTACACAATGAAAATCAACATAAAATCGGTAAGTACTGAAAGTTGGAGAAGTGTTTTCCACAATCCAACATTCATTGTGTTAGCAACTCCTTCTTTCTATCTATAGTGCTTGGTTATTGACCCTTTACTCAGTCAATGAAAGTTTGAAATTATTCCAAATGTTGAGTTGAAACTCCTCAAAGACAAACTTTCCTAAGCTTTTTTGAGACTAATGGACATTATTATCATTATAATCGTAATTTGCGCTGGTCAGGCCCCATCCCCCGAAGCCCCGATACATTCGGGAGGGCGCGCCAGCATTATCAACCAACGACCACTCCCCACTCCGTGGGGTAAGTGATTATTGGGTCCGAGAATCATGTGCCCTGAGCAAGCGCAGTGAGCCAAGAATGACAGCCTTCTGCATCTGTGCGGCTAAGATTTCTGCCTTAGTGCGGCAAGCCGGTATGATTTTAAGATTCAAGAGTAGAGAGGACATCATTCCCCCAAGGACTCCAATAATCAGAACAATCATCTT